GTCGCGATGCAGCCGTTCTTTTCTCCCTCTTTAACCCTGAAAGTCTGTGTACGTTGCTCCCTTTTCTCTTTCCTCTTTCTCCGTTTCCCATCTCCATCCCTCCCTTTCCACCTATTTACGTACACTTCTCCACTTGAAAGCTTTAAAACTCTTCCAACTTAAGCATCCGCGTACATCCGTACATATCGATGCATGTGTCCGTGTATTCGCGCTTGTTTACGTACTCGTATACGGCTCGTGGCTTCCCAAACTCTGGCAAATCGACCTATCTCGTCGCCTATTTATTCATCAACTTTCTTTTCTGCATTTTCAACCATCAATTTTTCATTCCATTTTTCGATCATCGTTTCTTTTTTTTTTTTTTTTCTTCTTCTTTCTTCCAAATCTCCCGTAATCTCGTTCCGATCATTCGTCGACCTATCCGTTTTTCCATGAATCTTATCGCGATTATAATTCGTCTGCATTCAGATGACCGATTAATTTTTATAATCACGATCGTTTATCGTATCATCGTCAAACGCGTTGTTTACACTGGATAAAAAACAGCCACGAACAATACACCGGATTAGATCGAGTTGAATTGCGGTATCGCGAGGAAAGATAAATACGATAAATCGATTGGAATAAATAGGAAATAAGTAGGCATCGACTTATTGCATATCTCGTTGCGATGCATCGGCTCGTTTGTCAGGATCATGGCGAAATCATCGTTGACCCCATCCTTTCTCGTCAAGGATGGATCGGAGAAAATGAAATGGAATCGGAGAATCGCGGCAGCACGACGACTAACACGATTCGTGTGCGCACGCGATCGGTGGGAGCGGCTGTCGCCACTTAACCGGATGCTAGCCACAGCAACGGAATACTAAACACGATTTTCCTCCGTCTACTCGATGCGCATTTATAAAAATACGAGTAAACGCTATGACGAAATATCTGCCTATAATTATGGCAAAATATTAAGATCGACGTATGTGGATCGACTCGTACGATCAACGATCGAACAAGCGTTCGATTTTCCTTCTTATTCGTATTTGTGCGGGATTATATGCGGGATAGAATATGGACGGGACGCCCTCGTTCGAGATGTTACCAGAAACAGAACAGGACAAGAGAGATTTAAAAGAGAAAAGTAAGTGCTTACAATTAACGTTCGCCTACACGAGCATGAACACTGTGTGTCTTGCGAAACTTACATGCTCTCGCACTCTCCGCATCTACACATCTATCGCGTGGAACACCCGCGCTCTGCATTTCACCCGTCTGAGTCACCGTATCACGCGATAAATTGCGCAATTCTACAGTTCGCTATGCTTCTCGAGGAAGTGAAATTGCGATTAAGGGTATAAACCACATCTATGCGAGATTTTCTTCTCTCTTCTTTTTTCTCCCTTAAACACTCTCGTAACACGCGTACCGTACGAGCGTTAGAGTACACGGCAGCGCTTTCGAACTTTGGTGAGAACCTTGGAGAGGAAAAACGATCCATCCTTCAAGGTTTCCAATGACAAAGGTGTTCGCCTAACCTATACATATTCTACGTATATACGTGTGCATACACGTATGAATTTATACACATCCGAAATGGTTTCAAAATACCGAAGGAACTACACGTATATATCTTACACATATTCCAACGTCCCATTATTCCGGCGAAAACACGACGCGACTCCCCAACCACTTCGCGTGGCGTTCAACACTTTGCTCGAATGAAGGAAGCGCGGTGATGGATTCCGTTTCGAGCCACGATATACCACTTGTTTTCCATCGTTTCGATGGTTCATCGTTCGATCGATCGATAGATAAAACGATCCATCCATCTTTTCACTTCGAGTCGTGAAAATAGTCATTCTCGTCCTCATCGTAACGTACAGTTATCCTTGGACCACGATGCGATTCGCTCGACTCGACTTCGCTCTACCTGGAAACGAATATCGGTCCAGCTGTCCAGCTGTCCAGCAGCTGTTCCTACCTTCTTCACCTGCCCACCTTGTATACACGCGTATCAACGTGTATGCGTCCACCACCAGTTTCGATGTTTAATTCGAAAACGTATTCGAGATTCGAGATGCGAAACTTGCGCGTGTCTTCTCTACATCTATATACATTGTAGGTTATACGGAATGAACGCGGAAGGGGTGTCGCTTACCGCTACACACCCCGCATCACAGCTACACTCTCTCGTTCCATCTCCTTCTCTTCCATCTCGCTCGGAACAGAGGGGAAGAGAGAAAGAGAGGGACGATAATTTAATAGCATAGCCACGTATCCGGTTCTTTTCACCGCGATCGTATATATATTCTCTTCCTTTGCTCCTCTCTTTCGACACATACATCTAACTTTTTTTTACGCGTATAAATATCGTAAATCGTTATTAATCATTCTCAAAATAAAATAAAGTTTCAACGAATTCGGTGTAGGTAAATACAATGTGGAAAAAACGGACGTGTTTCGTTTCGTTAATTTTAAAATAAATGGCTCGGATAATATCGAACGAATAGGACGTAATTACGCGTATAAGATAAGAAATAGAATAGGTAGAAATTGTGTATGGATATATATATATATATATGTATACTAAGCTATCATCGGAAATAATATCGGTACAGAAGGGAGCTACTAAGTCGATTTCTTGCACCTGTCCTTTGTTATCACGCGCTGTTTATCGTTTTCTTTTTTTTTTTTTTTACTTTTTCGTTCCTGAAATTGATCGACCAAAGGATAAAAATATATCGCACCAAGACGAATTTTCTCGGGACGAGCATTATTACACGATGAACTTTACCGGATGGAAAGTCCATTTTATTGGTTTATTCGCCCGAAAGATCAAGAAGGAACAGGTGTGAAGGAACGATATATACACCTGCGCGAATAAACGTACATCGGTTCTACTGTCGCAACAATATGCCTTGCTTCTTCGATGCGAAAATGCTTCTCCGATGCACCTTTCATTAATCGAACACGCCACTTATTTATTCGCGCTGTTTACGATGAGACGAAAAAGAAAGGGTGGGGGAGAGGGAGGGGGAGAGGGAGAGGGAGAGGGGAGGGGAAGCGATAACACACTATCTATCTTTGAAAAACGTTCGGTCCAAATTTCTCGTCAATCGATCCCGTAACATGATCGCGGATATTTCGCCGATGTGCTCTTCAGTAATATTTTTCGATGACGCGATTCGATATCGATACATTTTACTCGTGGAGAATGTAAGCCTAACCACGTATATGGCTGCGGGTACCCGGATGGATAAAATTCAGCCTCCTTTTTTTCCCAAACGATCAAAGCATTTACACGTATATCTTTTCAGTTATATACACGTTTCGAATATACACGTATACACATGTACCTTTCATCTTCTATACTAATTTTCACTTTGACGTTTTGCAACGAAAAAGAATTTTCAACCGTTGATCGTATTATCATCGAGGATCAGTTAGAAATTTGAATGCGATTCTATGAACAAATCATGTATATTCTTTATAACTTTTCATTTTAAATTTATTTTTCAAGCACTTACCAAGATCTGTTGCTTTTATTATATTGAGAAATTTATAGTGAGAACAATTAAACAAAAATAATTTCAAACTTGTACGAAGAGCAAGTATAGACAAGAAAAATAAATAATATGTGGTAAGTATAGGAACTGAAAATATAAGGATCAACGCCATCTTTCAGAGTGATGCAAATGAAACAAAGATAATAAGGATAGTAGAAATAACGGAAAGAGACTAGAGTTAGAGTAAGAATTGAAAACCAGAGCCATCTTTTGAACGTGAAAAAATATCTCTGAAAGTACTTAAGAGATGGCGCTAATCCTAAATTCCTATTCTATTTCATCCTACTTTTAAAAAGATGGCGCTGATGACAAATTCTTAGTTCATCTATCATTCTATTTGCTTCCTATCTATCTTTCATTTGCAATATACTGGAGACGAAATCATTCGAATAAAAATTACTACTTGTACATTTTATAATTTTTGGAAAATTCAAAATTCATCGAAAATATTTGATGGAAAATGTTATCCATCACTTTTTTTTTTTTACTTTTCTACTTTTCTATTCTTTTCTTTTATTTTTTATATAATATATAATTCTATCACTGATATATATATTAATCATATAATGATACAATTATATATTCCATATTAATGATTCAATAATAATAAGTTCTTAACTCTTGCCATTTAGAGATTGTTCGAAGATTACGATCCTCCCTTCTATTCTTTACATGCGAAAATATTATATTATTATTATATTATAAATTTTATTTTTTTCATACGTTTGCAATCAAAATTTAATTTTTTTCTTACCTCTTCGTGACGAATGATCGGCTTACTCTCTTGAAAAGAAGCACTGATTCTATTCTATGTATCGAAAACGAATATTTTGAAAATAAAAAAAAAAAAAATAAAATAAAAAACTACGCGTCCGTTATTCATGTTCAACGAACAAAACACTGATTCTAATTTCGCGTATAATTATTACAATTAAATTTACTCAGATTTACTTCTTTTATTAAATTTATTATTTTGTTTAAAAAATAAAAACTATTATTACGAAGCAAACACTGATTCTACTGATCACATTGCGCGTGATCACGATACCGGTCACAAATAAAATTCACATAGAATTCACATAGAAGAAAATAAAATACGAGTTCATATTTATTTTTCCTTCTTTTATAGAAAAAGCATTTATTAAGAAGAATTTAAATACTATTATTATTATTATTTTTAAAACAATTATGTTGTAAATGTTTTTATTAAAATTAATAATATTATGTCAAAACGTCATCTAATATATTAGAAATATTTGAAAATTTTTACATGTTATAAAAAATATACAAAAAATATTACATTTCAATATCATTATTATTATTATTATCTTGATATTTTCAATAATGAATATAATTACATAAAATTACATAAAATTATATAGATATTATGATAGTGAAGAAATTCAGTAAAAAGAAAATATAAAAATACTTACATACGTTTCCTTTCTATATAGAAATTTAAGCTTTACTTCTCTTTCTCTTAAAACATATTGAAAATCCCTTTTTCGAACTTAATCAGCAATCGGTTATTTATCTGCGTAAAAAAAAAAAAAATCAAATCTTTAAGATAATATACGATTGTAAAATTAAAATAAAATAATAACTCAAATTCCATTTTAGTGGTGTGAGTAAAAAAAAAAATATAATCAAATGGGTAAAAAAAAGAATAAATTATTTTTCTAAAAATTATTAATTATAATTATATTCAATAAATAATATGAATAAACGAATATAGTTTAAAAATATAATATAGAAAATTAAAAATTAATAAATAAAATGTAAGAAATAATTGTGTAAATAATTATGGAATAAATAGGACATTTTACATGTTTAACCATCTCGAATTTCAATAAACAAAATAATACATGTAACGATTTCGATGCGTCGAATTACAAATTGGAAAGAAGAAGAGAATGTTCGACTCAAAACATGTCCAGCGGGAATCGTCAATTTCCCAGAAAGGCTATAAAAAACGTTGGAAAGTAAAACCAAAACAAATACAGAAATAATAACACTTGAGTTGAAAAACATAGGAATGACGCATTTAAGAAAGAAATATGTATATGAGAATGAAATATGTATAAATTGATTGTACTGATTTAACTTTTAAATACATCCACCTTTGTGGACATAAAAAGAAACAAAGAAAATTTATAATAATTAATAATTTTTGTTAAAATAAATAAAAAACTTACTATATTTGCAAATCATATATTTGAAAATCATCTTATTATTTCTTGAACAAAAACTATTACACTTTTAGAGTTATTCTGTCTTCGAAGTTTCAATTGAACGATAATTATAAAATTTAAAATCATGATTACACAAACGATTATGATTAAACAAATTCGTATTAATTATATAAAATTTAATAATCGTAATAAAATTTAAGTTTAATAATCGTGTAACAATATATTTTATAAATTAAATATAAATTTTATGTAATTATGCACCTTTAACAATGGAACACGACCTATCACTACGATTTTCAACTGTAGACTGGATAATATGCGCATTATAATGCGCATTGATCCATTTCTCCAGGTTAGATCTTAGCGACTTTCTGATTGGTTGAAATAGGTTCCACAATTCCCTATTCGTTTTAGCCGCGCGAAAATTGAAGTATAATAATTATACTTCAGTTCAAATATTAAAATTATATTTCAATTTTAGATTTTATGTACATCGAAATCTCATAAAAAAACTTAGATAATATAATAAGAATAGAATAGAATTATTATAATTAATTTAATATAAAATTAGAAAAATTGAAATATAAAATTGAAATTTAAAATAAAAATTGATCAAATATGAAAAGATAATATGATAATATAAAACGAAAGTTAACATAAGATGTATCTAAATATTTAAAAATTACTGAAATATATGATGATGAAAGGATTTAAGTCAAATCGTAAACTAAAAAAGAGGCCGAAAAATAAATAAAAAAATTTCTATTAATTATAAATTATATGAAAAAATGAGAATAAGAAGAGAAACGAGAGTCAAAGAAAAAAGATAAAAAAACGCAAGAAAACTTTATCATTAAAAATATTATAATTACAATTATACTGTTAAAAATTTACAATATATATATTCAAAACAAATATGCATAAACGTAACATGATATATACTTACGTATGTGTTATTATTAAAAGTGTGAAATAGTTTTGAGACCTTCCAAAAGAGTACTCCACTTACACTCGTCACGTGACGAAACAAATTTGATATTTGTTTGTTGGTTGGCATGTTACAAGTTAACAAAAGCGTAACAAACAATTCCAATTTTTAAAACTCTGAAATAGAATTTACAATAATGTATTTTCGACATTTGCTTTTCTTTTTTAAGAAAAAGCACTGACAGCAACTATGGATAGTCACCTTTTTTCGGGAAAGATAGTTGAATTAAAATATATGTATATTTCATAATGAGATAAAAATAAAAATCACTACACTATTAAAAATATAATCAATTATTTCTTTATTTTTTAAAATAATAATTATATAAGAAATTATATCGATTGAAACACAAATGAATCATCAATCGGATAATTAATCAATACACAACGAAATATAAAAATTTCGAGAATCGATCACAAGAGCAAAAATTACTTTTTATGAGAATTGCTCACAAGAACAAAAGTTAGTCTGTCCAGAGCAAAATAGTATTTTTCTCAACAGTCGATAACTCAAATTTTCTCCAGTTAAATACAGTCGATTAAACAGAATACAAATATTAACTTTTTTTAAAAAAATTCTCCGTACAATACACTGTTTCGAAAAACGAATCAATGTCACGTGATTTTTTTTTTTTTTTTTTTTTTCTAATTCTTTCCCTTCTTTTCCGCTATACCGTTAAAATTTTCAATTTTTCGCGTATGTAAATCAACCGTCAAATATAACACAGTTCTAGTGCAAGTAATGGGAGTAATGTATAATCGTGCGGAAACAAAATAAAATAAATAAACAAATTAAGGCGATCGAGTATATTCACAAGCAACAATCATATCTCCACGAATCATTCTATTATTATTAAATATAAGCGTAAAATTCCATTAAGCGGGAAAGAAATTTCAACTTTTTTTACTTTTAACTTCCAGTGAATCACTTTCTAACGAAACATTAATTCCCATCATCGGGGCGGATAACGGATAACCGATAATGTATAATCGATTTTCCTTCGAGCGGAACAGACCAAGTTGAAATTCCGTTAGAACGTTAAAGCTTTTCGAGGCGAAAGTATCGTAATTTTTAAAAGATGTTTGGGTCGTCGAGTGCATAAAAGGATGCACATTGCTCGTTACACGTAGGAATCCTTTTCCCACTTTTCCCACATTGGGGAGGATCACTCGCTTCGTGGGATCGAAACGATATTATTTTTTTTTTTTTTCGAAGCTGCGCATTTTATTGAAACTCAAACTTCTCCTAGATCATCCAGCGTTTCTTCGTGCGAATTACACGACTCGATTTCAACTTTCTCTCCTCCCTTTTCCTTTCAATCGTAATACGCGCAATCGACTACAAAAACGATAAATTCTAATTACAACGAGACGGTGACGCAACGGCACAACGCTGATAGATTACCACGAATATTATTACGTAATACGTTAACACGTGAGAAATAGCAGGTCTCTCGAGAAAGAAACTTGTAATACGCGTAACGTAGATCACGTTTAGGACGAGCAAGTATCAACCATCGACCAACGCTCATTTCCCAGTAACTCTCGTAACTTTGCTCTCGACACAGTTTAGATATCTTGGAAAATCATTAAATCGACTCTTCGTTCCCTGGAGAGGAAAGGATAAGAGAGAGAGAGAAGCTATCATTTTAGGATTTAGGGGAGTAATCGAAACGGACCAATCTTAACAAATAAAACGTAACTAAACTCTATTTTCTATTTCAGTGAGAGTGGAAAGGGAGCAATAAAAATTCTTACGCTCGTAGCGAGCCTAGCTTGACGAGCCTTCTCTTATCTCGGCGAACACATTTACGTATAATTCTCGAGGCGTCAAATTGTCTCCATCTTGAACAACGATTGTTCGATAATAGAATGGGTGAAAATAATAATCGGGTGAACAATTTTTCCTCCCCCCCCCCCCCGTTATATCCCACTTTAGAATCAATATCTATGAAAATAAGTTTAAATAAACCGAGACGTTTGAATAAATCGGGTGAGCACACCGGCTATCCCGGATTAATTTCCAGTTTATGTCTCGACAAATATCTCGTAAAACCGAGAGAGTTATTTCGTTTTAACGTGTAACGATATCGATTCCTTCATCCATGCTTCGATTCGTATCTATATCGAGAATGTGGAAATTCTACGGTGGGAATTATATTGGAATAAAAAGAAGGAAGGAAGGAAAGAGAGAGAAAAAAGCAATAATTTCTTTCAAATTTTTTCCCCCTTCCTTCTCTTCTCTTTTTCTTTCTTTCTTTCTTCTTTTTGTCCCTCCTTAAAAACAAGGACAACGATTTCATCGCAAAAAATCTGAATCGCTTCGACTTAACTTTATCGCGGCGTTCGATCCCTTTCCTTCCTTCTTCTCTCGACTAACGACTTTTATCGATAATCGATAAATCGATGTGTCTTAAGGAAGAAAAAAAAAAGATACAAATCGATTTACGGAAACGATTAAAAGGTTACTTTCGCGGATGAAGTTTTTTCTTTTCTCTTTCTACCTTATAACGTTTATATTATAATATTTCTCGCTCCCCTTTCGTCCCATGCATCTCCCAACAACTCGTCTACCTTTTGCCCGCGTTATTTTTCTAAAATAAAGAATTTCAAAAGAATTTTTCCACATGTGAAATACGCACGATTGATCATTCTTATTTCCCTCGACTCTTTTATACGTACCACGATGACATTTGTTACGAGCAAGCGCCATCGTTTCAGGGGCATTATTGAAATGGCCTATCGGCCTATGATTTACATACCGACCAGCTATACCACAGCGCAGACGGCGCCCTAAGAAAGGGATGAGTTATAAGCGTGGCAATAAACGGTAATAAGATTCTCGAATTCTCGTAAATATCTAAGAGTACGTAGGAGGAGGAAATGAAGGAAACGGGAGGCGGACAATATGTTTGTTGCGAAAATCTTAACTCGAGATTAGGATTCATACTATTATTCCTTTTTTTAAAATTTTTTAATTCGAGCGAAACATTCTCTCGCACTTTTTATTTTTAAAGAAAATCCAAGGAGATGGAGGTATCCTCGAGATAATAATACCAAAAAATTGTTGTCTTCCAATTGTTGATCTATTTTTCTTTCACTCATACCTTGGACGGATAAGATTTGTTTAATCGAATCGATCAATGATAAGACGCGATAAAAAGTGAAAGTGATTTACCTTACGTAGCGGTGCGTTACAATTCATTCTTCTCTCACTGTTATACGATATTAAAACATTCTCCTCAATGGACGCAACTCTGCCCACATTCAAGAAATCGATGGATCGAATACGTGACTAGCCACCAACGAAATACCATTTTCCCGCTTTGATCGTCCCTTCTTCATCTTTATATTTATACATCCTTTACATTTGATTTACTTAATACTTTAAACGCATTTATACTCGAAACGGGAGAGAATTCATCGTGGCGCGAAATCGCATCCCTCGGAATTATCTTTATTTATCTTTTTTAATTGGGGGGAAGGAACGGGTGTTAAAAGGAAGAAAACAGGCGAAGAACGAAAGAGAGGAAGGAAGAAAAATGGACGAGATGTGTTGCGGTGAATCAACGCGTCGCGACAGCGGAATTCAGCAGAGGGCGTTACGCTCGTTGGTGGTTATCGAAACGATATACGAGAATCGAGGGTAGAAAGCTCGGACGGGGTAGAACACGGGACCGTTTCATTGGCCGAGACTCTTTGCAAGTATTACGGGGTGGGGATGGAAATGGGGATGAAACAAGTGGCGCAAAGCCGCGGGCTTATATAAACCGTCAACAAGAAATTCGTATTCACAGAGCGGTGCTCCTCGCCCTCCAAGGAACAACCTTGTGTCTCAACCTGACCGGCATTCGTTACACCCCGCGTTATTACCCGTTAATCGTAAGGTAAGCGGCTAATTTCTCTTCTCCCGTCTTTCGAAAGCGTGTTATACGTGTTATTTTTTTATTTATCTACGATTTCCTTCCAATCCTTTGCGATAATTTTTCAACAAATGGACGGGAAACGATATTTTGTAATATCGTACATAAATTTGTTTACATTAGATATTAAAAGAATACGTTTATACGATGGTTTATTAAACGTGTAATAACAAATTGGAATTGGTCGAAGGCTACGATTTATAAAGCATTTTATTACGAAGAAATTGTTTATTCTTTTTTCTTTTCTTTTTTCTCTTTCCTTCGTTCGTTTATTTCGAATCGAAGCCGAAATTCAATCAGCTAATACATTGAATAAATACATAAACAGAAGTGGATGAATTCTCGTCTAATATAACGTTCGAATATATACGAAGAAATATTCAATTTCTCGTGAGAAATTTTTTCCATATTCGGATGAAAATAAATTCGCAGCACGTCCGTTACATTTGTTACATTTGTCAATTAAACGGTAAGTCGACAGGGTAATTGGGTTTGGGTTGTTGCATTTTCTTTCGAAATTCTTCTTGCCCTTCATAAGAATTTTCAGGATACAAATTCGGATTAAACTTGTACAACAAATTTTTCGTATCGTTCTCGATCTCTCTATGTAATTCCTAGATCATAATCGAACCGAGTCGATAAAACGGAGCTGCAACGCGCAGCTGTTCTTCAATTTCTTGAATTTTCATGCTCGATCGAGCCTTGCGATTCACCTTGTTGCGAATATATACTGCTGCTTAGTCGTCGGATGCGGAAAACGGGAAATGGAAAACGAGATACGGAATATGGAATACGAGGAAAAATGCGAAACAAAAGAGTGGTTCTATTATTATGAACTGACAACAATTCGAAATCGCTTTTTCGACGGATCTTCTTTTACTTCTCCTCATACCGTCCTTTTCCTGACCAATGGATACATTTATTTCTCGTTTCTTTCTTTTTGAAACAGTATCAGATAGATCTTTCGTGATGATTCTTTCAAACATTTATACACTTTTAACTTTCATACGTATATATATATATGTGTATGTATCCAAATATATTGAATCGTTCTTAACGAATGTAAGTAGACGCGTGAAAACGTATCGTCAACATCAATTATCGGAAGCGCTGAATCCAATTATCCCGTGTTACGGCCATTCGGCACGCTCAAAGCGACTCGTGATTGCCTTCCAATAAAATACTAATTGAACGAACATCGATACTGTCAGAAAATGGAAAGGAGTCGTTCTGATCCGTCTAATTACCAACTTTCACACGTGTTAATTTCCATAAAGTTTTCAAAGTTTTCTTATGTACAACGTGTTAAAGATAGAGAAAAGGACTACATTACATTTGTAACGAATACTTTATTGAATTGTATACGATTTATATATTATACTCGCATATGCACGTATTGTAACGTCAGTTGGGAATCGAAACAATACGAAACGGAGGAATCTACTCGAAAAGTTGGCCACGATCGGTCTTTCCTTCCTGGATTGTCGGTTGAATAGTTTGTTAGTCGCTTTAGCCACTGAATGCATCCATTTTCTTTCGAGACAGAAAAGAGAGAAAAGAAAGGTGATATAAACATATAAACTCTCTTTTTTCATTCTTCTTTTTCATTCCTACTTTTTTCTTTTTTCTTTTTAAATAAAATTATATCAAATTTTTTACCGAATCAATGAAAATTAATATTGAAATGAAATCATATTATTTTCGATTCCAGATTTAAAAGAATCGTCGAGGATGCAGCAAGGAATCGTATCCTTCTACGTATTGTTAATGCTTGTGGGTCTTTTCGTGTCGTCCAATCTTTCGACGAATGCTGCACCGTAAGTCTTTTCGATTCTTTCGATTTTTTTTTTTTTATAATAAACCTGATCAATTGTTCGATGTTTTTATACGATTTCAAAGAGATATGCATGATCCGAGATGATATATTATATAATGCATAAAAACACGAATCAGTTTAATTATATTGCAAAGAAATAGAGGAAAAAAATATATACGTACGTAAAGCGAACGGAAGACTTATCTGGCAATGTCAGAAATTTAACCTAGTTCCATTTAATGAGAGAAAACGATTCCAGTGTATCTAAAATTAAAGGGACGAGAATGTTGTTGTTGTTGTTATATCTTTCCATTCTGTTAGGATCACGTAGCTTGATAAATGAAAAAGTTATAAATTTGATAGTCAAAAACGAGTATATTAGGTAACGAGATTTTCACGAACATGATATTTCGTGATTTAAAAGAGATTGACATTTTCATTTTATAGTCAACAAGGATATTGGAGTCAATTTGACGAAGAAGATCCGGAAGCATTGATGGAAATTATTACTCGACTTGGCCACACCATGATACGCAATCCAGAACTTGAAAAGTAAATATACAGCACATAAGTATCATTAAATTGATACGCGTGCCATATTTCGTTTTCGTTCTAATCATAACTTGCTTACTCGTTAAAATGTCATCCGTTTCACGAATTTCTCGCGAAAATTCATTTTTACAGTAGCAAACGAGGATTGGATCTCGGTTTGAGTCGCGGATTCAGCGGATCACAGGCTGCAAAACATTTGATGGGATTAGCCGCGGCAAATTATGCCGGAGGGCCCGGTCGTCGACGTCGTTCTGAACAAGCTTAGATTAAAACTCGTTGGTTTGATCGCGATTTCGATTATTTCGAATTTTAACATCATAGATGTTCACTTATGCGCGTTCCTTCTTGCATTCGTTCGTAAAGATTTCTTCTTTTCTATTCCAAAACGAAATATGTAAGAATTTTAGCCAATTTATCTTTCGATTAGTATTATATATAAATTAAATCCACGTTTACTTTAAATTAATTTTCTATTTCTATTTCGTATATCCGATTCGTCCAATATTTTTGAATTTATAATTTATTTCGATATAGTAATAAAATAACGAATTAAATTCTAGTCATCGTTCTAGTTATAAAGTAACTTTCGTATTCGTATATAATCAGAATGTATTTCGCGAAAAATAACATAAAAATAACATAGATAAAATCATATAAATCACATTATTATAGAAATTATGATCGATCGGATAACCTATAATTAAAACTGAATACGAAAATCTGCTCGATTTTTCGTGTTTCTCATAGATTCAACGAAGCAATGTTTTCTTCGCGCAAGAATATTTTCAACGACAATTTCAATCCACAATTCTAACCGACGTAATGACGTAAATTTTATTCCGAATGAATGAAATTATAGGAAATATTTTCCCGTTAATAAATTAATATTTATTAATATATTATTAATCGTATATACCTATAAAGCTTAATACTCATACAATCATAAGTATATGAATGATTATTATTTATTTCTTGAATTAGTTGTATATTTTATACCGATTATGTTCTCGAACGAATGCTGTTGAATCCAACAGTCCAACGTATCAATACGTATGTAAAGTTAATGAAAATAAATCCAATGTACCTTTCTTTTCTGCATTATTTTTACTACTACTTATTATTTTTTCCTTATCTTTTGCTTTTTAAATTTCCAATTTCCATAAATACCTAATCATAAATTAGATTAAATTTTTCATTATACTTTGATTTATTGGTACAAGAATTTTTTTTATCGATAAAAATAATACTCATAAATAATAACCATCAAATCTTGAAAATTATTATTATTATTATTATTATTCATTTATATATATATATATATATATATATATTGTAAAAAAGATATTTATATAAAAATTATCATAATAACTGAATAATATGGATCAAAATAAAATAATATTTTGTCACATTGCTCGATCTTATACCTTTCTTATATTTTATACTATGCAACTTACTATATACTCTGTGACAACAGATATTCCCCACCATTACGATGCGTATATGAGCGCACTCTAGTGTCGAATACGTTATACGATATTATCTGACGGATCATATCGATATGTTGCACATTCTTTCTACCGACATGTTGTATATTTAACGTGTTGTTTTAAAAAATATAGATATTGATTTTCTACCTAATTAGGAATTATCGCGCGTGTTTTTCTTTTTTTTACAAAAAAATTGATAATCTAAATTGTTAATCGATTCCTCTCTTTTTTTCCACAACTCTCGACAACGTTGTTTTTTCTTTCTGCATTGTTCTTCTATATGCGCAAACGTATCTTCAAAGATATATGTACGTATAAATTTTTAAATATTCATTTGTTCATACATCTTTTTATTCGTTTCATCGATCGATTCGGTAATAATAATAAGAGTAACGGTAACGAAAAGTAACAAAAAGTAATGAGAAAAACGGTTATTTCGACACATACATATAATGTTGATAATTGATAATGATAAACATTAACGATCGAAGATTAAATTCAATCGCTAATTAATAATAATAAAATAATATATATATATATATATATACATCTGATAATACACAAATGAAATATATATGAAATATATATATACGTATATGTATACGTATTTCAATATACTGTTTGTATGTGACAAAGATTCACGTAATAAGAAAAGTATGTTCCTCCTTTATTACACAATTTTATTTCTAATCTTATCTTGTGAGATGTGACTTTCGAATTAATATGCAAAGTTATTTTATTTATAATATACTATTTTTCTGAAAACTTTAATAAATCATCGAAATCAATCAATTAGTGCCACATCATCCTTCCAGATGATTTTTTATGCGAGACACGCATAATAAATATAATAGAATGAGCGAAGAAAATAAACAAAAATCGTGTAACAATTCTCAACGAAATAACATAGGTACTCACATCATGGTTTCGATACTCAGTATCGGTATCGGTTCTATATTATTTGCGTATGTGGCATTTGCTTCAACGATAGGTACACAAACTACTATACAACGGGTGATATTTGTAAGTATATATATATATATCATTTTGATACACGTGATTTGATCAATGTATCATATCCTTGTAACAATTAATCTTGATAATGATTCAACAGGTTTTTCGACATGGAGATCGTAATCCTACGGAAACTTATCCAAACGATCCATATCGAAATTACAAATGGCAAGGCGGTTGGGGAGCTTTAACAAAGGTTATTCTAAATTTTAAATAAATCGACATTAAATTGACGAATAGATCTATGCATAATATATATATCATATTTATATATTAATCAATCGAATTTTATTTTAACATGTTGATTTTTTATCAACCCAAACATATTAATATATTTATTGTTAAGTTAAAATTGATATTGATTAAATTTATAAGATCGAAACGAGAAAAAAATATTAGCATTATGTAATGATATTATTGATGTTATATCATTAAATTCGTAAAATTAAAAACACTGTTTTGAAAACTAAAAAATGTATATACATATACTTATATGAATAATCACACGAATAATTTATTTTATTTAATCAATATTAAATATCAAACGTATAAATTTTTTGATCTATTATTATTATTTTATAAAAAAACAAATTTTTCCATTGTAGAAATCATTACATGTACATACATAATCCTGAATGTTTCACGTTATATACAGGATGGTATGCTACGAATGTATAACATCGGTCAATGGATTCGCACTGAATACGGCTCGATAATTGGCAACACATACGATAGTACTCTATCTCTGACGCAGAGCAGTTATGCGGATCGGTGTATAATGTCCGCGCAAGTTTTATTAGCAGGTTTATATCCACCAACCAATGACGAAATTTTTGTATCAGGTTTGACCTGGCGACCTGTCCCTGTTCATTCGACTCCTAGAAATTTGGATAAGGTATATATTAGCTTTAGACATTGGAATAAAACTGTAACATATATACACATGCTAATAAATGAGAGAGAGAGAGAGAGAGAGAGAACACCAAAGAAAAAAAATATAATTTTCAGGTGATTGTAGTTAAAGCACCTTGTCCAAGATTAGAAAAAGCTTTGAAAGAAGCATATGTGAACGAATCTAAACGGCCAGAATCTCCGTCAAGCGACTATTATCAAGAACTTTCTAATTATACTGGACAAAATATTTCAACGATTACCGACATTGAATTTTTATACAACACTTTGGAAATCGAAGAACGCAATGGTTTAAAATTACCCGAATGGACACTCAAATACTATAATCAACAAATGCGTGAAATCGCAGCTCGTAGTTTAGCCATATTTACGAGTAACACGTTACAACAACGACTTCGTGGAGGTATAAAAATTGTAAAAATTATTCTTAATATAATTAATGAAAATAATATTTATTTATGTATGTATGTATGTATGTATGTATGTATATAACTTTTTCCTTCTAGGACCATTGCTTAAAGATATTTTGGAGCATTTGAATGCATTTAATAATAATAATAATAATCAAGATACAAGACGAGCATATTTTTATTCTGCTCATGATATAACTCTCGTTAATTTGTTGAGAACCATGGGTTTCACGGATGAATACTTTAAACCTGAATATGGATCGACGCTTATTTTTCAATTGCATGCTACGTCCAATTTTACAACAGAAGACATGGAATTGAAGGTAATATTATTATTGTATCGAAAGCGATCGTTTTTTCCCAATTATGTTTATTATTCTTTTGAAATTTTTTTTCACTCCCTTTCTCTCAATATCTTTATTTTCAATTTCTCTTTCACTTTTTTTTACAGTTGATGTATCTAAATGATACAAAAACACTTATACCACGCTATATGAATATACCTAACTGTGGTACACCTTGTCTATTAAAGAATTTGATGAAATTGTGGAATAACGTGCTTCCTGATAACTGGGATAATGAATGCTCACATTCATAATTCTTTTTAAGAATTTTTTTAACTCGTATAAGTTGGATACTCATTAACTTAGAATAAATGTGAATGAATGATAATTATCCTTTTTCCAAGACAACTATTCTCGAATGTCATGAAAATACATATGTGTGTGTGTGTTATATATATATATATATGTCTGTGTGTGTGTGTGTGTGTGTATTCAACAATTTATTTTATAAAAAAGTAACAAAAAATTTCTGTTCCTACATATATCCATGATAGCACATATAATCGCGAAGTATGCCGTATCATACGAATCAATTCTAATTCGAGCGAAGCTGGTTAAGATTACTAAATTGGCACAAAATCGTTTAACCAGGATGTGTCCGCGTTGCTTACGCAACAAATGACACTGAATGTTTTGCATGTCTCGTTACGCAATTCGAGAACGATTATTCCAAGCACTCTTTCCGTTTAATTCAAATATTCAAACAGAAGATAATGCGCGAATGTCGATTAAATGCCATCGAATACGAATCGTATTAATCGATACATGTATGTAAGTATGTACTTACAACATGTCATACAATTTTATATTAAAAGTCAAATATGTATATACATACTTTTATATATATATATATATATATATGTAAAACTAAATAAATATAATTTTCTAATAATATAATTTTAAATATAACTTTCTGATAAATATCATTATTAGTTTTAATAAGAAATTAAAGATAAATTAATTTTAATTGTTATTAATGATTATATCAATTGAAAAAGTTCAATAACAATAAAATTAGAAAAATTTGCCAATTTTATTCCTCTTTCTCTCTCTTTTATATTTATGATTTTTTTCTTTTTTTTTTTAATTAGATAATAAAT